ATATATATATATATATATATATATATATACATATATTTTATCTTGTATCAAGATATTATTGTTGTCGATGAATCTGTTCTTTTTTCCTTTTTGGCGCACCTTTTTAAGAACGCTGATGAGAGAAATCAGAATCGTGTATAGAAAAAAAACGCACACCACGTTAACACGTACACACATTTACATTTACACGTACACATACATATACATATTACATACACAGACACCGATTATCAGTAATATCGACGGAATGGTTGCCTTCAGGCCTTCATCCTATTTTAGGCATAGCATATTTTTCTAACGTGTATCGCAATATCGGAATAATCTTGCCTAGCGAGAGCGATAGAATGACCGAGAGGAAGAGAAAGAGGAAGAGAGTGATTGAAGGAATGCGTATGTGAAAAATAGAGATGCCTGGGAGAATGAGGCAGAGGAATGCGTGCGGAAACATAAATGATTTATAGGAGAGGCGAGAGAAAGAGAGAGATTGAGAGAAAAAAAAGAGCGAGAAAGAGGAAAAAAAAGTTTATCAGCGATGATCGTACTTGGCTGACTATATAAGGACGTAACACGATGCTTGTAATTATTACGATTGATATTAGTACGTTTAAGCTATTAAAAAAGTAACATCAACTTTAACATACATTATATGATTACAATTACCATCCTCTTTGAAATGCTTTAGACATTTAGGTTTCACGTACGTAAAGAAAGTTAGTATGCTACGCTTCCCTCCTTCTTATTCCTCAACCACTTCTCATCCTCTTTCTTCCCAGGCCTTTATGGGCCCTTTTGACAGTTCTTGAAACGTTTATAATTATAGCAGATTATATTTATGTATATTTAAAAACAAAATATATATAAATGCATCGCCCTTAAACGAAAGCCGGAAATCGTTTTTTGTGTGTTCTCGACTACTTTGTATAGGGTTCTTTAATTAGCATCTCATCGAATTATATTGTAGCTGTAATGTACAAAGAAAAAAAAGAGAGAAGAGATGAGGTAACGTCTCCCGAACGTATTTGAACGAGGTGCGACCTTATTTTCTCTGTAATGAAAATTTTTGCTGCAATAAACGGTTTATCTTTTATCACGTTGAATACTCGATGCTATCTTGACCGAAATTTGTACTGTTATGCGTATAACGATGCCTTTAAAAAATTTAATAATAAACGTGAATCGCATTGTTTTTTTATGTTTTTTATACATTCTGTGTGTAGTACAACATCCTGACTTTAGCAATTTTATAATATGATACATTAAAAAGTTGCTATTAATGCGTCAGTTTATCAAAAAATATAATACAGTTAAAATAATAATACATAGAATAGAATTATATTTCTAAAATAGATATTTTACAATTATTAAAAGAAAAAAGTATCGTGATGAGAAGGAAATAAAACATGAAAAGGAGCAAACGCGATTTCCACATTAATAAAAATGTTATGGGAAATTAAAAGAAAATGAATATTTTTATCTTTTTTTTTACTTGCTCTACATGTAAAATCGCGTAAAAACGATTCTCTCGTAAACACCTCTTTGATTGTATTTACAATTATTGTATGAAAATCAACTCTCGCGGTGAACGGAAAGAATTTAAAGTAAAGTAGATAATAAGGTATTGTGTGATAATGATTGTATATTTCAATGGGCAAAATGTGAGGATGAATGAACTTTTAAACTTTAATAAATGTAAATACGTTTGTTTTCTTTTATTCATAAAATTCGCATGAAGCATTCTCTATCAGAAATCGAGATATTTTAATGAATTTACATAACGATATGTATTGCAATTTAATATTTGTAGGCATTCAGCGTAGACCGCCATTTTATTTTACAAGCTTAGTATCGCGATTGATCGAAGCATCGTGTTTTCATCATGCAAGTCAGTATTTCATGACCTTAAAAGCATATCCAAAAGACACGATCGATTGCATGAAAACGCAGTAATATGAAATGTTTAGCAATGTTCAGCAAGCCAATTATATTAAAGAACGAATTACAACGGTGTCACAACTCAGCCCAGTAGTGATACTATTAGTAACACTAAGGGACTCTGCATAATAAAAGGAAGAATTTCAACAGAGAATAAGAATTTCAAATCATGCATTACGTGGAATACACAGTTTCTGATAGGTTGAAATTCTTATTCTCTATTCTTTGTTCTCTGTTCCTTTTATTGTGCGGAGCCTCTGAATTTATAATTACACTTCTACTAGTCACGAGGGCTCGTATTCAGAACGCGCTTTTTTTGATAAAAGCGCGCTTTTATCTCTAAAATTCTATAGTATGCGTAACGTAAATTATAGCATGTTAGCGGGTTGAATACGGGCCAGAATGACGATTACAAGCATTTAAAACGCGTGAGTGTCCATAATAAACGCAGCCATATACTTGTATGGCGATAAAAATGCCGGAAACGATGATTTCCATATGACAGCCATGTTAAATATTAGTTCTTCATTTCCTATGTAGCTATGAGGTCGCCACAAATGCTGGTAATGCCCGGAACGAGAGGAGATTGGCTATTGTATCACCGTCTACCATGATCGGACGTGTTATTGCGTCATCATTTTTGGAAAGTGAGACCGGCTTCAAACGCGCAACTGAGTTTGTATTGCTTTTTTAGACTTTCGTATTCCTCATATTGTTTTTTGTTACTCACATAAGTGCCGCAGATACTTAGTATTTCCAACCTGTCTGGTTGCGGAGCCAATAAAAAGAAGAAGAAGAGAGGAGGCCACGTGTTTATATTGTTATAGTCGTTGCGTTTGTTGTAACGCTTCTGAAATATAGAGGAAATACGGATATTTTTAACGAAAATTACAGTTTATAAGAATTTTTAAAGTTAAGAAAAGCGCTCACGACGTTACTTAGCAACTATGTCAATCGGAGTTCCTATTAAAGTGCTTCACGAAGCTGAGGGCCACATCATAACCTGTGAGACGAATACCGGCGAGGTGTATCGGGGCAAATTGATAGAAGCCGAGGACAATATGAATTGTCAGATGCAAAATATCACAGTGACGTATCGGGATGGCCAAGTGGGACAGCTGGAGAATGTATACATTCGCGGCTCGAAAATTAGATTTCTCATATTACCAGATATGTTGAAGAACGCACCGATGTTCAAACGACCTGGTGGCAAAGGATCGGGCACAGCCGGTAGAGGAAAGTCCGCAATATTACGAGCTCAAGGTTTGTATTCCTACAAACATTGTTTGAATTAATAGATGAAGTTAAGGTGACCATACATGATTAATAATAATGATCAGTAATATTGAATTAGTATTACTGACTGTATGCATCAATATTTTCAGTATTTTTACAATCTTACATGATCAGTATTATTGACAATATATTTCTCTTTAGTTTTGTGTACATTATTTATTGCATTCTGACATACTGTGACATGGATCTTAATAAAGCAATACTGATGCTCGAGAATCGAAATTTAGATCACCTCAGTATTCTATGTCAATCCATCAATATTATACACATAATCAATAATATTATCGGTACTTGTTAATGTTGACAGTTTTATTGACCATGTAGGGTTACCTTTATACTATATTCTGAAAAACATGAATATTTGTGAAAGAATGCAAAAGAAGACTAATGTTTGTTTCTATCAATGCAGATTAATTTTAATCGATTCGTTTTTCTTCATCTTTTTCTAAATTTATCTTCATCTTTTAAAACTACAATAAAGTGAAGAGTACATTGAATCGAGATTAAAGTTACTTTATATTAGTAGAAACTTGAGTCGTATTCTGATATACGGTGCTAATATTGAAAATCAGTATACGTGAAGCCCATTTTACAATGTGTTAATCCTGTGTCAGAAATTGAGATTGGATTGGAATCAATCAATCAAAAGAATGAGAACTCAATTTCTAGTCTGATAAATACAATATTTATTATTTTACAATTTTTTCGACTGCAGCTATTTATCACTATGCTTATACAATTGTAGAATGGATTTAACATGGATTATAGATTTTTGGAACTGATAATGTATCAGAACAAGCTCTTGAATCTAACAAAGAAAAACGAATAGAAAGAAAAGAAATAGAAAACGAATAGAAAATAAATCGACGAATAGAAAAATAAAATTTTAATATTTCTTTTAAAATCGAATTATATTGGAATAATTAAATAGAAGTAATTAAATTACATTATTAATCATTCAATTAGAAAACAATATTGATGGTTTTTTGTATAATATTTAAATAAAAATGTGTATATAAAATAAATATTTCTTGTGAGTTTAAATCCATTTTAAGATAAGATTCTCGTATATTATATTTATACACATTTGACCATTCTATGTAAAATGTTTCCAGCTCGTGGCAGAGGAAGAGGACAAAACCAAAGAGGCAAAGGTACTGGTTCGGCACCTTGGCTGAATCAACAGAATCAACCTGGATCTCAACCTGGAAGAGGCAGAGGATAAATTATCATTTTTAAGCAATATATTTCTGTATTCAAAATTGTAATTTATATTTTCAATGTGTATGTAAGATTAATAATTAATTTTAGTATTGCATTACATGTTTGCTGAACTTATAAGAAGTGTCTCCTTTGAAGCTAAATTAGAACTAGATAATCTTAATTCATTGTTCGCCTTAAATGACTAAGAAGACAGATCTTTATTTTATGACTGATTTTATGACAAAATTTGTTATCCAAATATACAAAGATGTGGAAATACTGAGAGTATTACAATATTCTAAGTAAATAATATTTAAATATTCGATTTATATCTATAAAAATTCTAAAAAAATTAATTCTAATTTTGTTGTGACAGTCCGAGAGATCAAAATGGGTATTTGTCAATAAAATGTGGAAAATTAATTTTTATTATAAAAAAGATAAAACCAATTTATTATATTGTATATTGTCAGCAATAAAATATTGTCTAAATAAAAACACAAAAATAAGTAAAATAATGAAGCCTAATTCAAATAACCGCGACAACATGGCAGCATATGGTGTCACGTTCTCATTTGCTGTTAGAAATGTATGCGCAAGAGCACATTCGAGTTCCTTCCACCATTGTACCTTGCGGCTTTCGTGTCACATTCACACTTGTTTGTACTCGCAGTTCGTGATCGTATGATCAACACGTTTTTTTTCGATATAACCAATCTCTAGTAGTTTAGTGTGCGACATAATCTATCGTAAATATAATTATCGTAATATAAATTATGTTTAAAAATTCTCAACCACAATTACTTAATGTAAATAGAAAACCCAGCCAACCGAAAAGACGAAAAAAGATCACGCTTGTCTTCGATGAGGAGAAACGACGGTAATTACAAAATCACATGTAGTTGACATGTACTTACATATAGTTGATATAAATTAATTTATATTTACCCTAAAATATAGAGAATTTTTAGGAGGCTTTCGTAAGAGAAAGCTAGAACGAAAAAGGAAGGCTCAGGAACAGTTACAGCAACAATTGAAAGAGGAACGAAAGAAAATTAAACAAGAAGTGAGTCATATATTACTTTAAAGTAAAATAAGGTATTTCTTGAAGAAATGAAGAAAGCATGATATTTCTTTTTAGGCGCGAGAACGTTATAAGAAATCATTATCAAATCAAGTTGTCCCAGAGCTGCAAGAATTGTTATCTCAACAAGAATTTGATCTAGGTAGTCATACAGTTAGTATTTTAGAATTGAATGTTGCAGACCTTGAAGAAGGAAAAAAATGGATAGGTGAAAACAAAATTATAGAAGAAAAAGAAGAGCTGGAAAATGATAAAAGTAACAAAAGTTGTAATGACGACAATGGTGATGAGATTGTGGGAATGTCGTTGCAAGAGAAATGTAAGAATCAAATGCAGCCAAAATCTAAATCCAACGGTCGTGAGATAAAATCTGCAAAAGAATTAAAACAAGAAATAAAGAAAGCAGCACTAAAACGCGTAAAAAAAAGTAAGGCATTTCAACAAAAACAGAGACTAGAACAACAAAAAAACAAAAAACAAAATAAACAAAAATTGAAAGCACAGGGGCTAATGCACAAACATGGCAAGAGGAGTAAAAATAAATCTAGGCGCTAGGAAATTTGATAAATTTACTGCACAAATTTGAAATAAATATATTTTGTAAAAAGTATTACATTATAAATATGCATTTATCACTTCTTTGTTTTTCCACCTTTTGAAGCAAATGGACAAATATTCTTATTGAGACATTCTGAACATTTAGGAAATCGAGGTAGACAAGTTTCTTGACCGAATCCTACGAGGAGATGATTTACTTCGCTCCACAAAGGCTTAGGAAGCCAATCCTCCAACTCATTTCTCGTCTGCTCCGGTGTTTTAGTCAATTTTTTCACCCATCCTAATCTGTTGGCTATTCTGTGAACATGTGTATCCACCCCGATACCAGATACTTCTCCCCAGGCAGTTCGCATGCATAGGTGAGCCATTTTAGGACCTACTCCTGGCAACTCGCACAACTCTTTTACTGTTTTTGGTATGTCACCTCCATATTTATCTAGAAGGATCACTGACGTCTTTTTTATATATTCTACCTTTTTCTAAAAAAAAAAAAGAAAGATATTTTTAATATTATAAAAAATCATTAACTGCGTAAATTTAATAGGAAATTCATAAAAAAAATATGTATAATTACAAATAACTTAATAGTTTAATGTATAAACAAAAATTAAAAATTACTAAAAAGAAAATAAATTCTTAAATGGATAATAAATGAATTTATAAACATGAGAAGTTTAAGATAAGAAAAATATCTTGTAAATAAATAAGTATTGATCTTTACTTTCCAAAATCCCACTGGATATATAAGTTTGCCTAGAACATCATCAGGGGTAGCTGCTATAATATTTGGTTTACAACCATAAGTATTCAGACGCTGCATAGCAGCATGGGTGACTTGGTCCTTTGTTTGACTACTCAGCATCAGAGCTACTAGCGATTGATATCTAGATACTACAGGACTGGCATCAGGATCTGTACACTTGTGACAGCCCATTGTGTCAACTGGAGCTGTCTCACTCTTTCTCATTTCTTTAATATTTTCAAGAATAATTTCCCAATCCGGTGGCATCCACTGTTTCTTATCTTTAACGTTCTTTGGGTTCAATTTGAGTTCCACATTCTCGTTCTTTATCTCACATTCTTCAGTCTTGATATCTTGTATACCTGTCGACAGTTCTACATCTTCACTTTTTATTAGTGTCTCTTTGACATCCGTTTCGTTCTCTATTTCATGCTTGATTTTAATCGGTATATGTTTCTTTGTGCTGGTCCTCGCCAATCTTTTCTCTTCGTCACCAAAGTAGGATGACGTTTTCTCCGAGGAGTCTGCGTTAACGAGAGTTTTGCCCGAACGTAAAGTTCTTGATGCTGAGAGACCAGCCAGCTTCAACCGTTTACTCATTTTGTCAAACGAAACACGTTACGGTGTCAACGCATTGATTCCTGCGAGTAACAAGCAAAATATTTGTACCTGAATTACGCAGTACGCCATTCGAAATTGGCATAACCGTTCCCGCTCGTACAGCTCATATAATTGGATAGTTAAAGCTAAGGTTAAGTTACAATGAAAACATCTTATAATTTTCTGCACTATTCTGCACTTGAAATGAGATAGACATACTATAGACATTAGAAAGAAAAAGAGAGAGGATTAAAAGTGCGAAGCGAATGATGGAATGGATCAGAATGGATGAAGGAAGTTATTTCACGTTCTTTCTATTGCAGAATTAAAGTATATCCTGCTTATTGTATTTACTTGCAACTAACGAAAATCGATTCATCACGAAACATTTCTGCAATATTGTAGAAATCACTGATATCACTGTTGCGAAATAAAACGTCAACATAACCAAACAAAAGCGAACTAATTTAACATCAACTTCGAGGTTTGTAATATTTAATGTATATTGAATTCATCATTTAAAAAAACATGATAAATTTGTAAAATGAATAATTGTAGCCAAGAAGCCTCACTGTTTTTGAAATGCATACCTCAAATAATTTTACTCTACGCGGTGGTGACGCAGCATTCGCCAACAGGCAGCAGGCATTATTCGATCAACTCTTGATTGCGGAAAGTAATTGCAATAAACATGACAAACCGGAGAATATGGAGACGGACAATATGGAGATGGTCGAACGAAGGAAAAGGCCAGCCCCAAGTGACGACCGGAAGCAGAAGAGAGAAACAAAGAGATTTAGCGGTAAAGAGAGTATCTTTAAGCGTCCAGAAGGTCCGGCGCCACGCAAAAATTTCAGAAATATTCCGGACTATCACAGAAATCCGCACAAGTGGGTCAAGTATTCTCTGGATGTATCCAGTGAAGACATGACGGAACACAGTAACACACAGGCTGCTATGTCATTTCTGCGAGAATTGAAAGCTCGTAGGAAGAAAGAGGAAGACGTCCCTCTCGAAGGGGAGGAGATGGACGTTGAGACTTGCGAATCAAATTCTACAGAGACACGATTTAAGAAAAGATCATCGTCGTCGCAAATCACATTTAAAAAGCCACGAACGAGAGAGACAATGGAAAATATTGCAGAGCCAGATGACAAACCTATATTCAGAAGTAGCAAGATCATTTTGCCAGAATACGTGATCGGGCAGAAACCAAAGAGGACATGTAAACAGAATCGACCAGTGATTAAAGTCGATCGCTCGAAAGAACTTAGACTAGATCATTTACAAGAACCAGATGAAGAGGAAGATGATTGAAACGAATGTACAGTGCATAAAATTGTATAAATGCAAATATAGAGAGATTGTAATTGTCGATATTTGCTTGAAAATAAAACAATTCACGAACATTTATACAGGTCCTCATACTAATACATATAATATGTACTAATTACATAGAAAATTAGATTCCGGTGAAATTAATTAATCTTTACATATATATATAATTTATAACATGATGAAAACACAAGACTCAATAATAGTTTTTGAGATGTATTAAGGGTGCAAAACTCTCTAAGAGAACCTTTTATATATAATAACTTAAACTATTCATTATTGAGTCTAGTGTTTATAGGGCTAATCTTTTTAGCTAAATTTTTTACATAATTTATCCTTTCTCTTTTTTTATATTGGAGAGAAGAAAGAGAAAAGGGATAAACTGTGCAAGTTTAGCTAAAAAGAACAGATTAATGTTCATTTCTAACAATGTAGATTAACTTTAATCTCGGTTCAACTTAATTTTTTTTTAATTCTTAAAACTAGAAAAAGATAACAGATGAGTTGAACCGAAATTAACATTAATCTATATTGGCGGAAATAGTGATATCTTTTGTCCATATAGTCTGCATTATATATAAGAATTAATTCAATTGATCAGGATTCAATTTTTCATATAATTAATACGAGGTCCTTTATAAACATGTATAAACATTCGTTGAAAGCAGTACATGTTAATATCATATCCATACAATATGTAATATAAAAGTAAAAATAAAAATATATATATAAAATATATATATATATATATACTGCATGTAAGTAAACAATAAAATTCCCTCAATAAGATGGAGATCAATAAGATAATTATATTATATATATATATATACACACACACACACACATACATATATATATATATAATTAAAAAAGCGTGTAACTATCTTAAATTTTATTTTTAAGATACCTAAGATATCTAACTTATCTAGACTCTATGTAATATAAAAAAAAAAGAATAAATATAATTAACAAATATTGTTTTGTGATACAATGTTTTTTATCATTTCTTATCATTCTCATTAAAATATAAAAGATTAAATAATTTCTACATTAAATATAAGTGAGATTGCTTTCTATGTTACACATGTTCTATTGTGAGTGCAAAAAGTGTAACAATCTTGTGTTCTACGTACACTAAGCAGTTGCAAAATAAACTACTCCAACGCCAACCCAACTTGCTCCAACTCCGAAATCAGAATGGATGTCATGTAACGTTAGGTTAGATGCATTCGCTTGTCCGCGGGGTTCGCGGGATTGTTCGTCGGTAAGACTGATAGAAATCGTAGAAAGAATTGAGAAGCTCACGGAGATGATGTTAGCCAAGACGTCTACCTAAGCTGCATCGAGACCTCGGTAAGTGCCGTTGAGATCGCATGGTGATCGTCCGGACGGCGCGGTATATTTTCGCCGGTGAGGAGGGGATGGGAGCCATAACCTGTACGCGTACCTGCGATTTCGATTTTCAAAATGGCGTGCCAAGTGTGAGAGACAAGGCATGGACTCGCCGTCGTCGTCGCGACATCCTGTTATCCTGTTGTTGATTGTTGAGTCGCGAGCACGCGTACGGTGCCGCTCGCATCAAGTTGCCCTCGTGGAGGAGTAATTATGTCATCGCTCGCGCGCACGGCGTAGGACGTAGGAAAATCTTCCACACATTTTTCTTTTTCTTCTTTTTTCCCTTTTCGTTTTCGCTTCTTGATGGAAATCCCGATGGAAATCTCGATGGAAATCTTCTTAACGGCGTTTTCCGTGATATTCAGTTTATTAATAGTGTTCCTCCTTGTTGTGATAGGTAAGCACTCGTATCAGAGCGCTGATACCTTGATCATGACGTTTTAATTTTGATAAATACGTCATCATCGAGAAAAAAACATGCGGACTCGATAGCATGAGTTTCTCGTTTTTTTTTGTGCTCAGTACGGATTTGCATATTAGTACTGTAAATACGATCATGTATAGATACCGAATTGTGTTCTAGTATTTTCTAAATTTAGTGTGATACTCATATAGAGCTCACATTTTGTATATAACGCTATTAGTGATAAGCATATTGTTTTGCATTATGTCATGCTTTACATACACATTTACATTGGACAGTAAAGAGCTTGCTATGATATATTTAAGCACTACATTATAGAATTTTACATATATGTAATAAATTTTATTGATTATAATTCTGACTAAGAATCTGACATACATGATTAATGTATGATGTGCTTCCATTATTAAGATATTAAATTGAACAAAAGATAAGAATGTACTCCAAATAATTTATAGCGAATTTGGTCACTTGCATTACACTAGATTAATGCATTCTAAAAGTGCTATACATGAAATTAGAAAAGTTAAATGCAAAGTTAAATACACAAATATAAATATTTTAAATTGATATTTTAACATTAACAATATTCAACAGATTATTTATGTATTATTTCATTGTTAGATATTGTTAATTATATTGTGCTACTGCATTTAGATACTTTATATAAAGCAGTTTTAATATGCACTAATTTATTATAGTGCTAGTGACTGAATCATTAATCTGAATTATAAAATACTGAATTATAATATATTTTAAGTATTAAATTATAGAATTTTATATGTATATATATATATATGTGTGTGTGTGTGTGTATAAAATTTATAATTTAAGTTAAGAATTTGAAATAAATGATTAAAATAGCTTAAAGTGCTTATATTATTAAGATTAACTTGAATAAGAGATAAATATAGGTATATTTCAAGTTCTTAATCTATTAAAAAATTTATTCAACATAACAGCATGTTTCATTATTATTATTTTGTTTTTATATAATTGCACATATAATATTTATACTATGATTTCTTTTTCAGGTTGGTATTTAGTTTGGACGTTCTTCCTATCACGGTTTCGCTTTGTGAGAGAGTTAACGGGAAATGGAATGAGTGAATCGTCGTCGGTTAATGATTTGAAGAATGGTCGTGCACGCATAAAGAAACTTCGTCGTGACTAAATATTGGACAATATATTGAAGCTATCGTTTATGATATAATTGATAATACCAACGCAACGGTTTTGTATAAAGTAAAATTAATCTTGGATACCTCGTGACAGAATATATATATATATATATATACACACACACATATATATATATATATATATATATATATATATTCAACTAAAATGTCTGTAAATATACGTTGTGCTACTACAGAAGACCTCCTGAATATACAGCATTGCAATTTGCAATGCTTACCTGAGAATTATCAGATGAAATATTATTTATATCATGCTCTGTCTTGGCCGCAACTGAGTTATGTAGCAGAGGATGAGAAAGCAAGAATAGTGGGATATGTACTTGCCAAGATGGAAGAAGACTGTGAGGACAATCCCCACGGGCATATTACCAGTCTCGCTGTAAAGCGTTCCCACAGAAGATTAGGTATCGCGCAAAAGTTGATGAATCAAGCCTCTCGGGCGATGGTAGAGTGCTTCGGAGCAAAATACGTTTCATTGCATGTGCGCAGAAGTAATCGTGCGGCTCTCAATTTATATACAAGCAGCTTGCAGTTCGAAGTATCGGAAGTAGAGCCAAAATATTATGCGGATGGCGAAGATGCTTATGCTATGAAACGAGATCTCACCAGCTTCCATCATGAGAAGGCTCTTAGAGATAGAGCGCACAAGGAAGGAAATGTTCATACGCATTTAGGTAGATGCTGTGGCGATCATTCTTAGTCCATTCATCACAGCTACTGACGAAACCGAATTGATTCATCAAAGTTTGACCTGGTACATTAGTAAAAATATTTTATATGCGATTGGAGGATGAAAGTTGTTAAAGTTTGCACGTTGGAGTAAGGTTGGACTTTGAGGCTGTTTTTCAGTTTACGCAATGCGCAATGTAATTAAGACTTATAAAAAATATAAGAAATAAAGGATTCTGGGCAATTTAATTTAATCTTGATTTTTTTCATTATAACTTTATTGAATGACTGAAACTGTAATTCACATGTAACGCGCCATTATGCAAAATTAATTGTTCAGGGCGTTGTCAAGCGTGTTGTTAAAAAGTATGGTAGAAAAAAATAATATTTTACAGCACTGAAATGGGTTCAATTTATACAGTTCCTACTTACACTTTAAAATTGGATCTATATTTATCTCAATATTTTCTTTTTCAAATACTTTGTCATTTTCAATGTATTTTGGCTTAAAAATTATTTTTGACATTGCACGATATTCAAATAAGTTTACTCCACTAATGCATCTCGGATGTACCATTATGCTTGTGTATACATACTCCATTTCTGTAATAGGAATAATTATATTATGTATATATATATATATATATATAATATGTATAAATATATCTATGTACAAATAAAATGTCCTTAAAGTAACATAATTATTCAGTTTGTAATATATCTCAAGTTTATAAACAGTACAAAGGAATCTAATGATAAAACGCATGATTTGTCAATTTTACGTGATTGTATCGAAAACATGATTAAAGCGTTATCAAGAGATAAACAATTTTTGTGCAGTTGACATTTCTCAAAGACATCACGCGTGCTACATCAAGAGATTTCATTTATAACTTCTTCTCTGATATTGAAATAGCTGCCCTCGGATAAATAGCTCGTAAGTGTACAGTAATACCGTTACATATATATTTACGAGTGACCGCGAGGATGATACACAATTATCGCGAAAAGATCATCCAGGTACAAAAGGGAAATTAAGGAAATGACGAGTTGTTGTTCGCAGTAATGTCTATAACATCGTTCGCGCGCGCGCGCGCGAGTGTGTCAGGGTTTTACAATAAAAAAAGAAATCATTCCACTTAAATGTTATAACATAACATTTCTGAATACGGTGATTCATACGCGGATAAGCACCTATCGATTCGACTATTATATAAACTCCTAAATAATATACAAGTTATTTTATATATATATATATATATATAACTGCCTGACATATGTATTATATTACAAAAACACTTCCTCAATAAATTATAATACAAGTCTCATAAATGAAGTTCGTATATAAACGCTTCTCCATGCACGATATGCTTGAATATCTAGTCTCTAAAAAAATAAAATGTAAGATAAATGTCATAAATTGTCCTGAAAGGATCGTTTCAGGATATTCTTTAAACATTTGCATCGTTATACACAATAAATCACATTAATCAATCAAAATAAGATAAAAAAGAATTCAAAGGAGAGAAACCTTCAGATAAATGGGAGAATTCTTATAAATGCTCGTTATCGTTAAAGCTGCAACAAAACAAGTTACATTTTAATACACGGTTAGTAACATGCGTAATCGCATTCACAATCACAATTATATCTCCATTATTTAAACGAGGCGCGGTAAAACTCTAATAGATACAAAGTTGGATGGTTTCGCATGCGTTGAGCGAATACTAACAGTTGATGAGCTATTTTTAAGTACACTTTCGCACGTGGAGAATGCTATTAGAACAAGTGCGCCGCAAATTAGCAGTTGGATCGTATACATACTTTTGGCTTCAACAAACGTGAACTTAAAGATAATCCAGCTGATCTTTTCAGATTTTAACGTATTGTTTGGTTTAGCCGCGGTTTAACTTTAGTCCTTGGATCCATTTTAATGTAAAAAACAGAGAGAGTTTCAATGATTAGATAATTAAAATTTCATAATTGATCCACTTGAAAGTTATGGAAATGCAAAAAAAATAATCTAGGAGATAAAACGAAAATTCTGAATGCGATATTCTTTAAACATTTGCATTGTCAATCTGTCACAGGACCTGCTATAGATCTAATAAAAACATCCGTTCGTTCGCTTTATCAAAAAGGCGTTATTGGTCTCGTTGTGCAAAAAGATTCGCGAGTTGCCGCGTAGTTGCCGTGGAAATTTTTGCGCGTTAACAAATTCGATCCGCCGCTGATTGCGGTTCACAATGTGCGCACGTGACTAATTCATTGTTATGGAAGAGCCTGGTAAAAAGGCCTGGGCATCCGAAAAAGTCGTAACCCGGCGGTAAAAGCTTTGTATAAAATTCGTTAAAAATTGTCTTCCAAAAAAACTGTATTCCGCAATAAGTAATAATTTGCCTTCACGGGATGTCCCAAAAAGGTACTGCAGAGAAATCTGCGTTGAATTTTCTTGATGTCAATTTTTTGATATACGATCGAATTATAAAAACAGAAACACGATTGTTCCTTAATTCGACATTGGTATTCATATCGGTCTTTTGCCTTGTAAGTAAAAGCAGCGATAATTCTTCATTACAGGCGAACGCTTCAAACCCGTCAATGAAATTGCTAGTCGTTGATTTCAGCAATATCAGTTAATTGTAATTGCAATTTAAGTTATTCCTTTTTATTTTAATTTTTTTCAAAAGAACAGGAATTCGCGAAAGTAAAATTACGGGTAACTAATATCGGTGAAACCGGTTCTTTAAAAGAGAGATATGAATACAAGCTGTCTATTCGCGTAATATTCTATTGTATACATATACATCTATAAAACTACTAACACGTTTTAGCTACATACGTCGTGGGCGTATATTCGAAATGGACTTTACGATGTGGCAAAACAACAGTGTTTACCAAATCGCAAATTCGCGAAAGCCATTTCGGAAATGCTTTACTCAAATCAGAAAGCTATTGGCCTCGTTATACTCCGTTTCACATTGCACGTCTACCTGAACGTCTAATTAAACGGCTACATATATTTCCTATGAAAGATTACAATGCTTATATTATTTTCGAGTACATTACAAAGACACTCGTTCCAGGGTTGTGGTTTTCTTCGTTTCTTACGATCTATATACCGGAGCTTTGGCAGTAGCAGGTTCCTATTTTAGGCCACGGATTTTCTTTATAATGAAATAGGATAATAGCTGCACGACACGCACTAAAGTGTGCGAATATCCGGACATGTTTTTTTACTTTCGTGAAGCGTATATGGATCATGTTTGATTATTTCGCCATTTAATATCGAAAGTACTGTTGGGATTCTAAGTGTTCTTTTTGCACTAGTGCTCGTTTAAAAAAAAATAACAGGCTTATTCAGTACTATTGTATTTCTACTCGTAAGTGGCTGAATTTCAAAAGTCAGCCACCAATAATGCTCTCAGATAACGCTTGAAAGATCACATCCATGAGAAATTCCTGAGATACTTTTGATCCACTTTTGTATAAGAAAGAATGTTCTATTTAATCAACGTGCTGAAGATTCGTAGCAACATTCGTTTAAAATTCTCGACGAAGAAAGAAAAAAAATACAACGAATAGAGATTGACATGATCCCTCAAACGTTATCTTCAAATTATCAACGCGATTGATATATCAATTCTAATCGCGAGATAAATTCAAAAACGCGTTACGCGTTTAAATCTTTCGCAGTCTCAAAGTTTCTCCGTTAATGAGGGAGAATCTACCGCGTCTCAATTGAAGGAACTTGTGGTTTCGCGACCGCATCGTGACAATTCTTCTCAGGGTTGTTGAGCAGCGTGCATCATAGCGACCTTGAGATCCTTGGCCAGGTGCGAAATGTCGACGACGCTGTCGACCATTTCCTGGACCGCAGTAACACTCGGGAAGAATTGAGCGGCTTGCTTCGTTTTTTGCACCGTCTGCCCAAGCGCCTCATTCAGAGCGTTCGCGCATTGTAGCACGCGCGTTCGCACATCGTTGCGTGTCACATTTCGGTGCACCGTGTCGCCAATATGCACTAGTCGGTGCGCACTCAGCACGACGAACTTGCCGTGAGCTAGGAAAACCTATAAAATTTCATTGCATGTTTCAAACAAATCCTTCCTATTTTAGTTTATCTTGACAGTAAACAAAAAAGATTATAAATTATTTAAAGAATGAATGATTTGAATAAATAATTATTTGAATATGATGAATAGGTATTTAAATTTGTGCGGATGAAATATTGATGGAAGATTTATAAAAATCATCAAGATGCTTGATAATACTTGAACAAAAAATTATCAATAAAAAATATTCTAAGGTTTCAAATATTATTTTCTAAAATATCTAATTAGTAATAAGGCTCATAAATTTTATAAAACAAAGAAAAAAGAGGGCTATGAGCCAAAAATTATTATATAAAATAAACATGATAATACAGAATGTAAAAAAATAAAAGAAACAGAAATGTTTTAAGTTAAAGATTTAATATAGAAAGCTAGCAGACGTTTCGATCGCGATCGGATCATTTTCAAAAACATACATAATAGTTACAGTCGGAAAAGAAAACAAAAAATATAATAAATTATTAAAAATATAAAAATATAATAAATGTAATAAATTATATTAATAATTATATTATATTTATAATATATAACGGAAAAAGAACGTATATAATAAAAACTACTTACAGTCAATCATTAAAATGCTCATAATGTCAATTTTAGTAAACCGAATTAAAGTCTTTGATTAAAAGTGAACGGAGAACGGAAATATGAGTCTGATCCTGTAGAAAAATATAATATAAGTGAAACTATAGCGCAAGATTGAAATAATACGACATAAATGTAAATTATAATACCTGTATAACGGATTTATAGCGCTAGGTAACAATACTAAAAAAAGAAAAAAGAAGAGAAAAAAGCACAGATCAATCATTAAAGATTAACAAAACAATGTAATATATAAGATAATACATAGCAAAATTAATGAACGTTAAGATTGCAAAAAGTATATCAATATATTAACTGAACTTTATAAAATAGTAACAGCTAAAAATAATATGTATGATATCTTTAATATAACATACCTTGAGTAAAAAATTAAAAGAGTTTCGGGTGCAAATAGTACGTTAAAAATAGAAACAATGCGAAAAGAAATGAAACAAAATCTTGTCTCCTCGGTGTTCTGAGACATAATGGAATCACAAAATTGATATTCAGAGAAGAAAGGGAAATGATAGTGGGAAAGTAGTGGAAAGAGGGAA